GCTAATGTAGTGTCGACCCTTCGCGCATTATCACATTTCAAATTATACAATAATCTCACATTAAGATAAGATCAATTCTATGACCTAATATCAATGTGTTATCGAATGAACGTCTGTTTATTATCGGTCGTCATATTTTCGCACACACCCACCAAGTAGCAGAGTTATAGAAAAGACAATTCTAAATCTCTAGTAGGCCGAAATACCACGTCCCGTTTGAAGGTAAAAAAATAATAAATTCTTAATTAAATTTTAAAATATTTTATTTAAGTTTTAGAAAATTGAGAATTGTAATGGGTGACAGTGAAATTTATTGCAAAAATTATTTAAATAATTCCCGTATTTTTTGTCGAATGTTTTCATTAATCTTCCCATCTACTCGATTATTAAGGATCGAGTAGATGGGAAGATAGAGACGGTCATTTGTCTTTTTTCGAGTGGGATCAGTCTTAATGCAGATTTTACTCTATTAACTCTTGCAATTTTTATTTATGAAGTTTATTATCCAGGAGGACACGGGTTCGAGTCCCGTTCAATAATTTTTCACACCTTGTCCATTCCGGTACATTTCGACATAATTCTATGTTTACTTTCAGATAAATATGGAAGGAGAAGCCAAAGATTACGATACACTATGTGGGATTATTCACTATCCTTATACGCAATCAGCTTTAGATTCGCACTTTCCCAACATGGAATGGTCCGACGAAGACGTTATTTTAGATATTGGGTGCGGTCCGGGTAGAATCACCAAAAATATTCTCTTACCAAATTGCCCAAAATTAAAGAAAATCGTTGCCATCGACATAGATCCTAATTACATCGAGTATGCAAGAAAGACTTATTTCCACGAGAAAATTGAATTTAAGACACAGAATATCTTGGAAAAGTAAGTTAAATTTATTTTACATTACTGAAAAGAAAATGGAATGAGACAGAATTGTATATTTTTATAATTAATACTAGCTGCAAGGACCCGCTTCGATGGGTTTTTATTTGTATGTAATATAGTTNTCTATCTTGTGTTATTATTGTTATTTGAAATAAAATTTTCTCAAATTATTTTCTCTTTTAGATATAAGTTTAGCGCTGTTTCCTAGAACAATCTTCGAAAACTTGGAACCAGAGGTCAAAGATTACCTTTGGAAACAGGCGCAACCCACAGTTTTCAAGTATTGTTCGCAAGAAGAAAATGGCGAAATTTCCGTTTCATATGAAGCTTTACAAGTCTCGGGAACAAAGAAAACATAATTACATTCACGATCTCTACTTCTTTAGAATGGGTTCAGTGATAGGAAATATTAAAATTGAATCACAAAAGCAAAACAGATGGAAGATTATTTTTTTGTAATTAACAGTAATAAAACTTTAACATTGTTTTTTTAAAGAGTTAACGCGAGGAAATTGAATAGTTTATTTACTGAATAATTGTGTAAAATTTGTTGTGAATAACTAAATAAAATCATTTTAAAAATATGAATAACAGGAACTACAGTAGTCGAGAATAATTGGTTCGACCATGAAAGATTCTATGGTCGAGTGAATAAAATCGCTAAAAACTGGTTAGTTTGCGGTATCGCTCAATAAAATAATTGCTGGTTTATTTTAAAAATATTTTTATTAAAAATAAAATACTGTACAGTATATACATAACAGCAGTTTCCAAGTAAAATATCGCGATAAAAAATACGACAAACGATTCTTTGGTTTATCTCGTATTATTTGTGCAAGTGTAATTAAACACCGAAATCAGTTTTTCATGTATTAATGCTTGGTACACGACATTAAATTTATTACATTTTATTTCTTCATGTGGAATAAGTTTGCAAGAAGATGGTTGAACATGGTACAAAATACTGTACAATATGCGGTGCTATCGAGCATTGATTATTTTGCGAGTGTTTCCTGTCTGGATACAATATACAGTGGTACCTCGGTATACGTCTGCTTTAGAATACGTCCAATTCAGAATACGTCCTGTTTGGACGAAACAAATTTTGCTCGGTATACGACTTAATTCAATTATACGCACCGTCTATGAACAAGTAGCACTATCGGTGTACTAGACCAGACTAGACGTTCGCGGTGCAACGGTTTATAACTTTGTTAAATTTCTTCTGATTTTAATTTGTAAGTAAAATTTTATTATTTTAATTAATCATGAATTGCAAGAAGGCAAATGAAAAGCAACAGAAAACTAAAAGAAATGACTAGAATCACAATGAAACTGATGAAAGAGATTGTTGAGAAATATGAAGATGGCCGAGAACGACAATATCGACAATCGTGAAAAATAAAGACATTATTAAATCTGCTAACGTTGCGAAAGGAGTTAAATCAATTGCTAAACAGAGATCGAAGACATTAGATCATGTTGAGAAATTGCTTTTGTTTTGGATAACTGAAAAACAATGTGCTGGAGACAGAGTATGGAAGCAATTATTTGCGAGAAAGCTAAAAAGATACATGCTGATCTCATGAAAAATCAAGCAGGAACTAGTCAGGAAAGCGAGATGTTTAAAGCCAGCCATTTTTTTTACATGAGAACGGATTAATCATTTTTACATTACGTCTTATGGGAAAGGCTAGTTTGGTATACGTCCAATTCGGTATAAGTCCGAACATCAGGAACGGATTAAGGTCGTATACCGAGGTTCCACTGTACTTAAGTACAAAGCACAGCACATTTCTTTGTATGAAAAAAGTAAGCGAGTGTAAAGCACTGTATTGTAGTTATAAATCATTAAGCAGACAACTTAAGTGAGTTAACGGTTTCACTTAAGTTATCTGCTAAAAAATAAAAAATTGCCACTGTACCACTGTACTAAATCCGACCTCATTGCCATCCATTATATATCCCCAATTGCAAGTAATTTTATTTGGATTTCCACTTAAAAAATAATCGAAAATTTGGAGCACAAAACACTGCAAAGATTGAACAGTTTCACGAGTTCCAAATCGATTCGGGTATTAATTATTTATTATGAGTAGTATTAGTTTGCAGCGCTGTTCCCAAAATTTAAATCATGTTAATAAATCTTACTGCGATCAGCTCCATCCTATATACAATTGTGGCTTGATAATGCTTTTGCTTTACACTAGTGATTATTCGAGTGAACTCGATATTCGTTTTCATATTTATCGTGTGAGAAGCACCGATGTGTTACAATGTGTTACACCGATGTGTTTCCATTCCACGTGTGAGAAGCACCGATGTCATACAAAACTAAACAACACATTCTTTTAAGTTTACGAAGCTTTCCATCGTGGATTCTAAACTCATACAAACCAGTTTTAATATTCTTTTAGAACACAAGAACTAGCTATGGAAACTAATCTTTAACTAAAATCTTTTTCAAAATGGTGTACTGTACGTTAATTAATATTCAAATATCTGCGATCTCTCTTGCTAGTCCATTCATTTAAAGTTAGAGAAAATTTTTCCCCATCCTTCTTCTTACAATTAAATCCTATTATGGTGGTTTCATATTTGGCAATTTCACGAACAGTTCCATTAGTCGAGAGTTGTTTTGTGATAAAAATATCTCCTTTATTGCAAAGTGAAGGTCTACAAGAATCCAGAAATGATAAAACAATATTTTTTTGCTACTTGAAGAGAGTAAAATGCCAAAATGCATAAAATACGACACTTATTATACACTTTAGAATATGACGAATAGTATGAATGTAAGAACTAAAATATCTGAAATTAGCCAAAAGCCACACGAGAAAACAGAAATAAAATGCAATTAAATCTCTTTGTTTCCAGTTATTCTTGTGTTTAAAACATGCGCATTTAATTAATCACTCTCGGACAACAATAAAATTTTATAACATTATTTCTGTGCATTGTTGTTTTCATTTTTGGCTAAGTTATTACATTGAATTTAAAACACCAAATTTACAACAGTTTACCATTTAAATTAAATTATTTGAAATCAGAAATGGTAAGTAAAACCTTTGTTTTGCGAAAGATATTTAATTTGGTAATGTTTTTTCAAAATTCCCGACAGGACACTTTTAATCTTAATCTTGTATAATGCCTAGAGTACATATTATAGATTTTACCATATTTTAATATCTGAAAATCATTTATATTACCATAAATTTTTACTAATTACTTATGTTTACTTATCGGAATTTTTTAAAAGGAAAGAAAACACCAATGCACCAGATGCGGTAAAACATTCCAGACGAAGGAAAATTTACGTACTCACATGAGGACTCATACGGGTGAGAAGCCGTTTAAATACGAATCGGATGAAAAGCCTTACAAGTGCAATTACAATGGCTGTGAATGGAGCTTTAAACGGAAATATGAGTTAGAAGAACACACGTTCGAGTGTCATCCCGAAGAGATTTTATCTAAAGTAAATATTACCACAAATTTCTATATTTTCATTTTAATATTTCGATTTTCAAAGCGATAAGTTATAAAAGTAATACACGCAATAACATTTTATAGGATTATATAAAACATTTAATTTATTTTCGAAACAATATTTAATGTAACTGCGCTAATTTACAGAAACAAATATTAAAACAATAATATAAATAAATAACTGTAATCATCGTTATTGTTGTCATGTGAATCGAGGATAAAANATAAAAATATAATTTTTAACGATATAATAGTCTTCTTTAGGCTTAACATCGACGAAAATTCAACGCGAAGCAACACGCAACGGAGAAAAATGTCAAGATTGGATAAATTAATATATTTTTTCGTACGTAATCGGTTATCCGAAACACCGATCTTCCGAACAACCCCAGTCCCAATTGATTCGGATAATCGACGCTCTACTGTATATAAAAAGTTACGCAACAGGCTGCTATATATTTTTTTGTGTAATAAAATTTAATACTGTATTTATAAGCATTTGTGTAAAATACGATAGTGTTAATCACGTTTCTTTGAAGAAAAAACCAGGCAAATATTTAAACAATGAATAATTGTGAGAACAGCTATGTCTTCACTGTTTAAAATATCTTTTATCTTGCCGAATTTGTTGATAATCTTGATTATAAAAATATTTTTTCTGATATAAATTTTGTTAAGATAATGAATGAATTCAGTTATCGTATATTCATTTCGACGTGTTTTAAAAACAATAGAAACTCCTCGGATGATAAAGCAACCAGCTTTCCCTCCTCTGGAGTTTCCGAGTCCCACCGATAAAACCACTCAGCAAAGGGTTTTCCAAAATTACTTCACTTGTATAACAGCTAAATAGTGGTTAGTTTCAAATTGACAGTTAACACCCGGAAGTGTGGGCAGATCACCTGAATATTGCTTGGTCTTATTTCGTCGATCCGATCCAGGAGGATACGAGTTCGAGTCCCGTTCAATAATTTTTCACGCCTTGTCCATTTCGGTACGTTTCGACATAATTCTGTTTTTGCTTTCAGGTAAATATGGAAGGAACAGCCAAAGATTACGATATATTGTGTGGGATTAGTCACCATCCTTACGTGCAATCAGCTTTAGATTCGCACTTTCCCAACATGGAATGGTCCGACGAAGACGTTATTTTAGATATTGGGTGCGGTCCGGGTAAAATCACCAAAAATATTCTCTTACCAAATTGCCCAAAATTAAAGAAAATCGTTGCCATCGACATAGATCCTAATTACATCGAGTATGCAAGAAAGACTTATTTTCACGAGAAAATTGAATTTAGGAAACAGAATATCTTGGAAAAGTAAGTTAAATTTATTTTACATTACTGAAAAGAAAATGGAATGAGACAGAATTGTATATTTTTATAATTAATATTAATCGTAATTATTGAAACACATAATTTGTTTGCAGACCGGACCCCGAAGAAGTCGGAAAATACGATAAAGTTGTATCCTTCCACGCGTTTCATCTTATACCCGATTACGAAAAACTGTTTAATGTTATATCTACGCTTTTGAAGCCCGGAGGTCACTTCTTTTTCATTATAGTTCCAAACTTTCGAATATTCTCGATAATTCGTGATTTAAGTACCGATAAAGAATGGACAAAACACATAAAGGTATCGAGATTTTCATTTAAATTATTGTAATATGAATTAAATTCAAATAATATTTAATTGCAGGCCGAAGACTTGCTTGCCTTGTTGCCACCGACTGTATATTGGGAGGACGTAGAAACTGAATTTAAAAATTTCGTTTCCAAGTTTGATTTACGAGTGACAAATATTAAGTGCCATACTTTAAAGGCGTCATATCCTAACAAGAAACATTTTCTGGGTAAATCTTTTTCTTATTGTTTTTATAAAAGAAGAAAATTATTCAAATATTACATCTTCTAACATAAACATATAGCCAATTCCTCCAAAGAAATTGGGTTTTCTTTATGCGCTTAACATATAAATAAGGTCCAATTTCCTTCAGGAGGGTACTCCTCGCTTGGTAGATTGCCCACGCGTTGTGTTTCCATAACCATTCTTCATTCAATTTTACATCGTAATGTTTATAAATACGAAGTATTTTACTTAAATCTATCTTGTGTTATTATTGTTATTTGAAATAAAATTTTCTCAAATTATTTTCTCTTTTAGATATAAGTTTAGCGCTGTTTCCTAGAACAATCTTCGAAAACTTGGAACCAGAGGTCAAAGATTACCTTTGGAAACAGGCGCAACCCATAGTTTTCAAATATTGTTCGCAAGAAGAAAATGGCGAAATTGCCGTCTCATATGAAGCTTTACAAGTCTCGGGAACAAAGAAAACATAATTACATTCACGATTTCTACTTCTTTAGAATGGGTTCAGTGATAGGAAATATAAAAAATGAATCACTAAAGCAAAACAGATGGAAGAAGATTATTTTTTTGTAATTAACAGTAATAAAACTTTAACATTGTTTTTTTAAAGAGTTAACGCGAGGAAATTGAATAGTTTATTTGCTAAATAATTGTGTAAAATTTGTTGAGAATAACTAGATAAAATCATTTTAAAAATATGAATAATAGGAACAACAGTAGTTGAGAATAGCCGAGTGGTCTTCGTACTCTAAACACTGGGAGTTCGGTCGTTGGTTCGCGCCGCGATCGAACAGGCTGGCTGCTTGGAGTTTTCCGGGTTTTCTCCTTACCTATAACGACTAAATAGGAGACCAGTTTCACACACGTTCCGGAAGACATTTGTTCCCATCGCGCCCCAGAGAAGGCAACGAGAAACCACTTTGGATAGTAACCTTCCCTAGTAACACCATGGCGTATCATTAACTATTTACTGATCTGTGCCGGGTATGGCCGAGGTCAGGAAAACCTGATATGACAGCATGAGATGAGAGTCGAGAATAATTGGTTCGACCATGAAAGATCCTATGGTCGAGTGAATAAAATCGCTAAAAACTGGTTGGCTTGCGGGATCGCTCAATAAAACAACTGCTGGTTTATTTTAAAAATATTTTTATTAAGAATAAAATACAGTACAGCATATACATAGCAGCAGTTTCCAAGTAAAATATCGCGATAAAAAATATGACAATTCTTTGGGTTATCTCGTATTATTTGTGTCATATGATCAATGTGCAAGTGTAATTAACATTAAATCACCGAAATCAGTTTTTCAGGTGTTAATGCTTGGTACACGACACTAAATTTATTACATGTTATTTCTTCATGTGGAATAAATTTGCAAGAAGATGGTTGAACATGGTACCAAATACTGTACAATATGCGGTGCTATCGGGCATTGATTATTTTGCGAGTGTTTCCTGTCTGGATACAATATACTGTACTTAAATACAAAGCACAACACATTTCCTTGTATGAAAAAAGTAAGCGAGTGTAAAGCACTGTATTGTAGTTATAAATCATCAACTTAAGTGAGTTAACGGTTTCACTTAAGTTATCTGCTAAAAAAAAAATTGCCACTGTACCACTGTAATGAAACCGTCCTGACCATTATATATCCCCATTATATATATATCCCCATTATATATCCATTATATATCCATTATATAACCATTATATATCCCCAATTGCAAGTAATTTTATTTGGATTTCCACTTAAAAAATAATCGAAAATTTGGAGCACAAAACACTGCAAAGATTGAACAGTTTCACGAGTTCCAAATCGATTCGGGTCTTAATTATTTATTATGAGTAGTATTAGTTTGCATCGCTGTTCCCAAAATTTAAATCATGTTAATAAACCCCACTGCGGTCAGCTACATCCTAAATATAATTGTGGCCGGCAATATAAGCTTGACAATGCTTTTGCTTTAAACTAGTGATTATTCGAGTGAACTCGATATGCGTTTTCATATTTATACCAATTATAGAATTTATTTTAAAATGATTAAAGTTGTTTTTATTCGTTAAATGTCTTTCATTCCCGATATTTGCATAACTTTATAAGTAAATAAGATGCCACCCTTTTCATCTCGGGGACAATATTTGAGAATTGTTTGTTCAGCCTGATTCCAAAGGCAATTTTTCACTTGTGGATCCAAGTTTTTTGTAGTCGCTTTGGGCAATATCGTCAAAAGTGAATCTAAAATAACAAATAAAGTAGATTCCGTCTTAAACAGGATTAAATCTTAAACAGATCTACTTATGTATTTCCGAAATAGTAAAATAATTTACCCAAGAAATGCTGTTTATCGGAAACAGATGTACTCAAATCGTCACATTGACTTTTAGTCACTTGCAAACCAAACTTGGAAAGAAATTCTTTGAATTCGCTTTCTGCATCTTTCCAGTTCTCGGTCGGTGGAATTACGGCAAGAATATCTTCTCTCTGAAATCAAAAGTTAATTTATATCTTGTAAAAGTATTAAATAATTACAAAAATGTGTAATACCTTTATGTGCTTCGTCCATTCTTCGTTGGTACTCAAATCGCGCAAGATGGAGAAAGCCGGGTTCTTAACAATACTAATGAATAGAAAATGTCCTCCAGGTTTCAAAACAGAAGATACGACAGAAAATAATTTCTCGAAGTCGGGTATGTGATGTAAGGCGTAGAAAGATACAACTTTATCATACGAGTATTTTTCAACTTCCGTATCCAATCTGAAAGTCATACGATATATCAGAGCATCCGTACCGTTTACTAATAAAACTTCTTGCGAGGTGAGATGTTTTAAAATAGCTTTGCATCAATTACCCCAATACATAAGAGAAAAGGAAACCAGAGAGAGTCATAGTATCTCTGTTTTAACTTAAAAACAATTGTACGATTTGGTAATGCAAGATATAACGTGATGACTCCGGGTGAACTTCCTATGGGAAACTGTCTCCTATTTAGGTGTTAAGAGTTTAAAACACTTCAGGTGTTTTACGAATTTCAAACTTTCTTACCTTTGGAGGATATCTTGCGTCATAAATTCGACTTTTTCATCGAAATACGTTTTTCTGGCATACTCGATGGAACTAGGATTTATATCAATGGCAACGATTTTCTTTAACTTTGGACATTTAGGCAGGAGGACAGTTTTGGTCGTTCTTCCACGACCGCAGCCAATTTCTAAAATGACGTCCTGCTCAGACCATTTCATGGCCGAGAAATGTGCATCTATAACAGAATCCACGTACGAAAGAGCAAAGTTCTCGTGTGAACTTTCATGATGTTCGGTTGCTTTATCCATAGTCTCTAAAACTAAAAACAATAGCACATGAAATAAGACAAAATAATGCGAACAAACTATATCAAATATGATTATAAAACATCTCACTGATGACGTTTAGAAAAGAAACCTATATTAAAAATTCTCGTTACTATCTAAAAATACAAGAAAATACGCAATGATTTTGAAGTCTCTAATAAATTTCAACACCAAAGTATTTCACATATCAAATACCAGTACCTTTAACAAAAATAATGTTGAAAACGGTGAAAACAACTGAGTTCACTCAGTTTGTAAAGTATAAGGGAAAATACAGCGAATCCTTGATATAGCACCCTCTTATACAGCGTACACCTCGTAATGTACTTATACGGTTAAGACGTCAGCCTGTCAATTCGAGCAGGTAAAAAAACACAGGAAAGTTTTCTACGAGTATGGTGTCGTGCCCCGTCCCTCCCCACTCAGCCACTACATTATGGGCCCAGCTAAACCCACGATAGGTACGAAAAAAGGCTCTCTTATTGCCCATAGGCTCTTCTCGAAATCAGAAATTAAAATTTAATTTTATGGTAAATTTATTTCATGTGTATTATTTGAATAAATTCAAAGCGTTGGCACAGAAGCAAACCTTTACAGGTTTATATCAATAATACTTTCGAATAAATAATTAATAAATAATATTTGTAAGAATCTGTACTCGATACTATGTATTTCTATTATTCTTTATGCCCTGCGGGCACTAAGAAATCTTTTTTCAGGCCAAACATGGATTTGTTCTAGCCCGCAACTCTCTGTTAATTAATAGTTGTATATATAAAACAACAAATTCGCGTAAAAATTGCCCAAGATCTATTAATATAAATTTTTCGGAAATCTGAATAAAAATAATTCCCTAAAATGTTTAATGATATAATATACGGTAGGTGAAAAGTAACTCGGCGTAGAAAAATTGCTATGATATTTGTGAGAGTAATGCAATCATAATAAGATTTATATGTCCACGTAAGGTACACCTATCAATAAGTCTTTATATTTCCCTTATCAGTGGTGTCAATGACTGTGACAGAAATGATGGACGACTGCTTTTCTGTTCAGGATGGAGCGCAGATTTCCGCACGCTGAGGTGTGAAAATCAGTGGTTGTAGTCTTCAGATGGTGGAGTATGGCAAAAGGAAGTCGTGTCACAATCCGTCCGAAAACAATCAAGAATTGTCATTCGAAGCTAACGACCACAGATTTGGTTACGGACACAGAAAAGTGCCGCCGTCCAATCCCAAGTGGTTTGAAGAAGTTGGCGGATGACACTGGTGTCTAGATTAAATATTAAAAAACATATCCGTATTTCCATTTAATAAGGTACAAGAGAAAAAAGTGTTGCCATGTTTGCTTAAGAAATGTAAAAATTATAGCAATTTCTCAATGCCTAGTAACTTTCCACCCACCCTATATAAACAGAGAGGCAAGATGATAACTGCTACATACAGTATACACGTATATTGGCAAAGTGCCAAGTGCAGTGACACAACATTGTCTAAACGTAACGATCGATACACCTAGATAAAATAAAAACGTATATACTAATTTTAATAAAAGACACATCGAAAGATTCCTGACAACTAATAATACCGAAATGTAACAAAAACCAAGCAAAACAGGCACTTACAATTACAAAAATTCCCGTTCTAAGAGAGCTTGCACTAATGCGTTTCGTCACTCTTCGAACACTTAAGAGTTGTGATGTTAATTATGAAAATATAAAATTTGTTTGTGAAGTAAACAATTATAATATCTAATTATGTATAATAAAGTATAGACATAATAAAAATATTAGATAAAACAGCCTTAACGGATACTTGCTTAACAACGGTAAAATATAGCTATCTACACGAACTATCGAACACCCTCTAGCGGTTATGATTATTTTAATCTATTTGAACGTAACCTGGAAAAATATATTTTATTACCCAAAGATGACTTTTAATCTATAACAAATCTTATAACAAATTTCGTCAATACTTGCACAATTATTATCATTAAAATAAAGATATGTGGAAAGCTGAATGAATGAAGATATCGAGTTAACTGATTGTAAATAGTATTACTCTTTACAATCCACTCCTTAGTGTCATTAGAAATTTTGGTGAAAGGTTTGTTTCGGATAAGTTTTTCATTGCTGGGAGTTTGCAATGCGGCTGATGTGTCAAAGGTCAGAAACATAAGGCAAATACGGCTCTGTAGTCAATCAATCTTTCTGCGCAATAGTCACAGAGAAGAAAGATGGATTTAGGAGATAAGAAAACGGAGCCTATGGGCAAATTTATTAAGTAGTGTCTTCTGTAACTTTTCTGAGAGGAAGTAATACTTTCTGTGTGAAACTGGCCACCATTTTTGTGTTAGAAGCGTGAAGAAAGCACGGAAAACTCCACGTGATCAGACGTCAACCCGCGACCAACTTCCATTGTTTAGTGGTTTTAGTCACTCGGCCAATGGTATATCTAACAAATTTCGAACTATAGCTAGATGAATAAGGAATTTACTAAATATGCACGATATTTAAATATATACAATACATATAATTACACTTACTAACGTAGCGAAACTATATTTTGATCTCTATCTCCAAAAAAGGGAGCGAACTTTACTCAAGTGTATTGAATCGATTAAAAATTTGATAAAATTTTAAAGGCATAAATTTGATAAAATTAAACGTTTATAAAATGGGAGAGACATTACCCATATTAAATTCATCAGTGTAATTAATAATCTATGATAATCTCTAATAATACAGAATTTTAATCACAAAAAAGTAAATTAATAAGAGAATCATTCATAGAAATTATATTTCTTACAATTAATATTCTCATTCATATCGACGAGTAATTTTTATTATACATTTGAAAATATGACGAAAATCTGAACGTGATGAATAAAATATATAAAATCAGCCAAAAGTCTCATGAGAAAACAGGAATAAAATGCAATTATATCTCTGGTTTCCAACTATTATTGTGCTTAAATCAGGCGCATTTAATTATTTTCGGATAATAATAAAATTCTATAACATTATTTCTGTGCATTGTTGTTTTTATTTTCGGCAAAATTTCTACAATAAAATTACTATTTGAATTAAATTGATTATAATCATTAATAGTGAGAATAACCGTTATTTTGTCAAACACTTAATTTGTTTTTTAAAAATTTCTAACATGACAAGTTGAATTTTAATCTGGTATCGTACTGAAAGTACTGTACATATATAAAGTACTGTAGATATACATATATAGATTTCACCATAACATTGTAATATACGATTATCATTTATATTACAATAAATAATTTCTATGTAATTTTTTCACTAATTATTTATTTTTACTCAACAAAAATTTTCCGATACTCAAATTGCAATTTGACACGGAAACTGAAAGTGCATTCGAATGCACTCGATCAAAAAGTTCTACATATTCTGACGGCATTATTGTAAAGAATGACCGACTCATCTACCTAAGTGCTATTTGCAAATGTTTTGTAAAAATTATCCAATAATCTTTGCAAAACATTTTACCTATAAATTGCTTCAAAAAAGTATATTTATATGTATAAATTATATAATTTGTAATAGTATTTGTGCTCATTGGTAATATTTGTAAGCGGCGGAAAGCAATTCGTGTGTATGGTGTGACGCAGTTGTGAGAGCCGGATTGTATTTAACTATAAACTTTTGCAAAATTATATAAACCAAATAAATAACGTTTTAAAATTTTTATTAAACGCAAAAAAAACTATATAAATTTTTCTCAACAATTAATAAAAAGATGGAAGGATATGACTGCGTTATTTACCGCATTCGCTTCCTTTCAAACACATCTTCCGTATGGTCACCCGGAACTTTAACCGAAATTCGTCTATTTGCCACGACCTATAACATTACCAAAAAGGACAATAGAAAGAACGAGGACCCTCCCAATAAAAGGGAGGGATCGATGACGATGGTAATCCGTCATCATCGAAAGTTCGCCCTCGCCAGAGTTGCACTAGCGCTCGGCTACCTTACCGACACCGAAGATTTTTAAGTGACTTTCCTCCCTCTGACGACCTTCCCGTCACCTGAATAGTCCGAATATCAAGATATCAAGACCTTGCCAAATATACCGAGTCCTTCCAGAAAATCCATCGAAACTTCCGAATCATCAATTTGACGTGTCGTCAATTAAAGTCCTCAACCCGATTGGGAACTAAGCGCATCCTCAGATCCTCTACAACAGGGGTGGCCAACCTTTTGCATACCATGCGCCAATTTTTTGACAGACGAGTTCAAATGCGCCATATAACTCGAACATTTTTTATACAGTCTTATGTTCAATGTTAGGGGTTGATAAATAGAGATAAGAATAAATCTGCTTTGCTTAGGAGAGAAAAGGGAATAACTTTATCACGCAGTTTAATTAATTAATTTATGACAGTTTATTGAAGCACCAATTTACAATAGTCAACAATAATCTCCTGTACGAGAGGGCTATTGCTTCATGAAGGTGCTATTGCTGCCAGAGTCTCGTTTGGTGAAGATTACTCTGCACCACAATTATTGGCACTGAGAGCTAGATCAGTTTGGAAAAACTTTAATCACAATAAATGTTTTCGGCCATTTACATGCCTGTAAACTGATCGGAAATAAAAATCGCAAGACTCAAAATACATGCATTCACTGTAATTTACAATGTGGAGAACACCCATTTTATCTGCAAAATAGACCGTAACGAATTGTGCAACAAATGAACTTGCTATGACAGACTGTAAAAAATTTATTTTTTTATATAATATTCTTAATCGCATAAAAGCCAAATCTGACAATTTTGCTCAGAACTAACTGAAGCGCCACTTGTAATCGTCCAATGCGACACGTTTTGGCCACCCCTGCTCTACAATGTATTTATCCGTCCGAGAATTTATGTAAACTCACGGACGAATACACAATGTACTAGCCTTGTAAAGGGATCGTTCAAATGTTCAACCTTCCAATTGTAAACAGCCTATGTTTAGCCTAATTGTAAATAGCTTATAGTTAATAAACGGATATTTGTTATTGTTAAAATTGTTTGGTGATTCTTAAGCGCCTACCGATTCTAAAACTAACGTTCTTCGACATTAAAAATTGTTAATAAAATGTTTAGAGGCTAGAATCCATATTTTAAAGTTACAAACCGCTGTGCGTTGTATCACCCTCTATCGTATCATGTATTCTTCTCTATTAATCAATGACACATGTACATAAATCAGTAAAATTACACCATGTTAATTCTACGTTGTAGAATCATTTTTTAATCAACGAAACTATTTTCTTTCGGTACATAAAAGCAATTGCTTTATAAACAATAGCAAAGTTACAAAATGAAAACAATAAAACTTCAAAAATTTCTTCTTTTTGTATTAAAAAAAATCTAAATGCGAATATTAATAAGAATAAATACTTTTGTAAACATTTTCCTTCATAACGAAGAGCGTTATTGATTGTTATTATGACATTTGATAATATGATTATTTAAATTACGTTTAAAACTGAACTTTTGTAAGCAACAAGTACATGAAAATGGCTTTTCCCCTGTATGCACTCGGAGATGCCGAATCAAATTTCCTTTGTGTGCAAAACTCCGTTTGCAATGATCACAGGTAAAGGGTTTTTCTCCGGTGTGAGTGTTGACGTGGGTACGAAGATTGCTGGATTGATTGAACCGACGATTACAGAATTTGCAAGACAAGAGTCCTTCTCCACTGTGAATCCTTCGATGACATACAAATCCTCGCTTCGAAATGAATATTTTCTTGCAACTGTCACATTGATACTTCCCATTCTTTCTCTTCTCAAGTTTTAAACCTGTAAAATCCAATAAATAAAAATAGTAAAAACCAATGTTTAAAGACCAAAACTCTCTTCAATTTATTCTAAATCAAATATCTAAATTTAAATCACACTGTTTTAAAAGTACTGTTAATGTTTAGGATGCAGNGAATTGAGGATAAAAAAAAACCCTTCTCCTTATTCACTCTGTGTCAATTTATATACTTTTCTGAAACTAAGCGACACAATATGAATAACAACAATAATAAACGATCGTAATTATTATTATTTTAAAGCTAAAGAACTTTTTAAAAATTATGAGTTGATGTATTTGCTTGCATTTTTCGTAAAAACTATTCTCTTAGTTCACTGTGTGTCAATTCGTTAATTGTAAACCTTCATAAAGTCGAACCGACACTACCCATTAGCCATTCATCACAACTATAGAGTTAGCATATTTAAAACTTAATATATAACATACAAAGAGTTGCATGCTTTAATTTATTGTCAATAATTATTTCATAAATTATTATTAAATTAGATTTCACTAAACGACCCGAAGATCACAAGCCCTAAATGTGGAACAATGTTTTCCACTCCCAGTGATTTAACACGTCATATGAGAACTCACACCGGAGAGCTGACAAACTCATGTAATATTTGCAACGAAACATTTACATTCAAAATTCAACTGAAGAGACACCAGAATAAGTTTCATCCGAAAGCGGAAACACATACTTGCTTCGAGGTAAGTTTACAAATATATTTTAGGAATGAACTTTAAACATATATTCTGTTATTAGTATATAACTATAAAAATATGATTAATATCAATCTCTGCTTATTAGTTGAAATGAATTCCGAGTAAGAAAAAATTAAATGAATTCATTTTGACAGTAGAAAAATATCGAAATCAGCGAGAAATCACCGAAGTTACAACAGGCTGCATCTTGACTGTTGTGTGATTGTAAGAGTCTGGATGCAATCTGTTATACTCTTTCGAAATTAAAAGATTAGTGCGTGTCTCTGTCGTAAAAATTAGTTACATGATTTTTTCTACTTACAAGCATTTTTATATCTGTAATGGATTAAACAATATTCAACATAAATGTTACGAATGCTATGGTACGTGCTATGTACCATACAGATACGTTTTTTGGTACCATAAAATCAAATAAATTGCGATTTCACTTTATTTTCTGATATAATTTGCTTTGATAACATTACTGAAAAGCATTTATGTTTGTTAACCGATTATTTTTACAGTTATTAATTACATAAAATTTGTTAAAATTGTAAAGTTGCTTTAAAATTTGAAGAACATTGTGAAATATTTCATCTTAATTGGCTTAAAAAGCTGTTAACACTTAAAGAATTACATACAGTATACATAATTATCTGAAATCAATTTACATTTCAGTACATTGTATACAGTTATGTTATTTATTTTCAGAAAAGTAAACAAGATGTTCAACAAGAGCAGCAGCAATCGTTTGAACAACCATCGACAAGTTCTCAAACAGCAGAGTCAATGGAATTTGAAGAAATTTCTTCACAAGAAACTCTTTTTACTTCAAAAGAAAGTGCAGAATTTCTTGAAAACGTTAACGTCGATTTAGAAATTAGACGAATTGAAAGATCCTCACAAGTGGAATTCTTCCCAGAAATGGACGTTGAAGAAAGTAAATTTGAATGTCATGAACAATTTTTAGACGACGTTTCATTAAAAGAACACGAAAGAAAATTCCATTCATCTGATTAATTACTTCTGGACAACTAATTTTAAAAATATGTTCATTTAAAAGGATGTCGGATTATTTTAATATTTCGAAACATATTGATGAAAACAAAATTGAACATTCAGTACAAGAACTTTAATTACAGTTCAGATAAATATGAAATTGTAGTAGAAATTGTACATCTAATTTAATTTTTAGTGTAAATTATTTGATAGAAAGTTCATAATATTTGAACGAGACAAAATTTCGAAAGTTATTCTTTCATTTTTATTGCTTTACGAAAACCAAAACACCTAAACATCGACAAAAGAATTAATTTTGTTGTATTTGTTTAATAGATAAGCTTTAATTGAATAAATTTTCGTTTAACGAATTGAACATTTCTGGCCATTTTATCTCTGCACTGTTTGAAAATAGTTGTTTACTTTATTTACGACATAAACCATTAGCTTTTATCAAGTGTCAAAAACAAAATACAAATACATTATAACAGATATAGAGAAACAACAACTAGCATAAAAAATTAAACACAATTCAAACTCTTGATAGAATATTTGAAGGTTTTCAAATGTTTATATACTTTTTTTACAGCGTTCCAATTATATATGATTTTGTAATCGATATGGTTCGGCAGGAACAGTGTTTGACTGTTGTTAGTAACAGACCGTTTGTCAGTTGATAATCAGCTGACTGTTGACAGGATAAATCAAAAGTGTAGTAATAGTTTCACGAATAACACGAGTAAAAGGCATGCCATAGACATTTTATAGGGTATTTGCTGATTCTTCTTTCTTCTGTGTTAGTGCCGATCTCAATGTCTTTCCAAGGAAGAAAAACAAGAATGAGAGTAGAGTCAAACAATAAATCTGGATGGATGGAAAACTTAGACTCACAAATGTTAGTTAAATCCTTGTCAATTAACGAGTGAATATATTTATCTATAGACTTTTTTAAAATTGAAATCAAGGATAAGTCAATATTAAAATCAGCAATAATTGGTATTCGGTAAGTCTTTAGTTTGGTATTATCAAAGAAGATAATAAATGTAAGTATATCAAAAAAAAAAGGTAGCCAAAGTTAGATGAATAAATTGTAACTATCAAAAATTTCTTGAAAGTTATTGCGGTAAGATGAACGATTTCCGATTAAGAATTATGTGCATAAAATTGAGGGTAAGACTTGATATTCCCAGTGGGAAATGCTTATCCTTTAAACTTTTTTAACTGTCAGTTAAAGCTCCAGAACATTTACAATTGTTTGAAGAATACTAGCATATCAACTATCATTATCTATTATTTTTCAGATGTGGATAAACTAAATTAAAAATAACACGTTTTAATACAATACACAACCCAAACACTGTAAAATGTGCATAAAAAGCTATTTATGTGTGGAAGGGTAAAAAACTGTTTTCTGCGACTGTTCTTTTACGGCTATTTTTTTTTTTTAAAGTTTTTGTAACAGTCCCATAGCTGTTTGCTTATTCTGAGCGTGACACCCGGGATACCATTGTAAATTCTGGTTAATACTTCCCAGGTATCTTTCTTCTGTTTAGAAGAAAGCTCGTTTGTTTTCTTATTTCCAATTACATATTTGTATTTTTCGATTAATTCGAGTAGTATTTCCTTTTCGAAATTTGTGAAGTTACGGTGTGCACTATTCTCCATTTGACTTTCCGCTATTTTCTACCCGTGTTCGCTTTCAACCAATCAAGACAGTGCTTACTTATGAAGACTTGTTTAATCTTGAACGCAGCATTATTTTTAAATATTAACACTTTTGTTGCAAGTTTACGAGTTCTTGTTCTTCGATTCTTCTCTACGTACTACCCGCAATTTGTCTAACACTTATACTACTATTAGTAAGCCAGAATGCATTTCGACCATACGAGCCTTTTCAATCGGTTATAATAGCGAGGTTAAGGCCGAAGTTTTAAACGCGAAAACGTGTACGTCGGACGTTCAGCGCTGCTTTCTTAAAGGCCTAGAAGTTTGGCAATGGTGTTTGGAATGTCGAGCATGATTCCACTTACTATCCAAACACCATTGTACAATATAAAAATAAAGTTTTATATTAGCATCATAGTAAATAATGTATATTTAATGTTTCCGAACAAAATGATACTTATGAAAGTTGAATGCAAGCTGTACAAACAAATGAATATTATACAAGACCGTTATACTATAACTTACCACGTTTTACTCTAATACTTATTTTAGAAAAAGTACGTCACTCAATGACGGTCACACTGCTGACGTAGACTGTCGACATTTCCGAGTGGCTGCGAAACCTCTCAGGAAAGGCTGATTTACAGAAGTCACGCCTATTTTTTCTGATGAGACCCAATTATAAAGATTAATTTTTTTATCCTTCCACGCATAAACAGTTTATTACGCACACATTACAGTGTTTGGGTTGTGTATTGCATTAAAACATGTTATTTTTAATTTAGTTTAACGGTAGATAATGATAATTGATATGCTAGTGTTCTGCAAACAATTGTGAATGTTATGGAACTTTAACTGACAGATATAACGGACAGATATATTATATAAATTAAAAATGTTCGAAGGATAAGCATTTTCCACGGGAAATATCAAGTCTTACCCCTCAATTGTATGCACATAATTCTTAATCAGAAATCGTTCATCAAAATGCCAGTCACATATTCGCGATTTTCTTGTGAGTTTTATATCTTTTCCAGGATTTATACGTTTACACTTATTTAACTGGTTTGAAAGTGGTTTAAATATATGCCACTTCTCACTAGATTTGCATATGCCTGACTTAGACCCTCATAAAACACATATTCGGTATTCTTTTATCACAATATAATTAATGGTCGAAATCGAAAATTTAGAATAGATTTATATACCAAAATCAAGTCTCTGAGATTTGAGTGTCATTTTAATCATTGTCTCCAATTTGCCCTTGTTTTTAAAATAAACATTTAAATGTTCTAGAATGTCTTTCGCAGATCTACTCATATTTTAGCTCATAGAAAATACAGACAATTATTATTTTCCCATTTTTTAATTAATATACACATTACACTCAATTTTAAGATGCAAATTATTTATTCTTTAAAAACTAATTTTATGTATTAAATATATAATAAGCTTGAACTAAAGTGAATGTACCTCAGAATAAATGCACAGGTGCTGATGTTCTGGTTGTGTGCCATATTGTGTGTTAGCGCTTGTGTTTTAATATTCGAAGTAAATAAAAGCAAAAGACATTTGAGAATATGCCCAAAAAAGTAATAAAATTAATTAATACAGCAAAACACTTCATAGTACGTCCATTGATGGAGACATAATCACGTCCATGGAAACTGCAGTGATTTCGTCATCAATACGAACACTCAACAGCAATTGACGTATAGAAACACCTTGTGTGTGTTAAAACACGTGCCAAATTGTATAAAAGAGCGTTGGAATTCAAGGATGTGTCGATGTTCAGCGAACAACTAATTCAACATGAAGATCGCTTTGCTATTGCTGTTTGTAGCGGTTGTTTGTGGTAAATTTATTGCTAAATATCTTAACTTATACGTACTTATAGTTGTTAATTATGTTTAGAATTAATTTATAATGTCCTAAAATATTTATTGCAGTGATCAACTCCCAAGCTAAAGGTCGTGAAAATGAGAAAGCCAGAGGGATGGGGATTTTCAAGAAAATGGGAGCAATGGAAAAAGTAAATATCCCAAATTTAGANTTCAACAGCAATTGACGTATAGAAACAGCTTGTGTGGGAATTAACACGTGTCAAGTCGTATAAACAGCGTTGGGATTCAGATGTGTCCATGTTCGGCGAATAACTAATTCAACATGAAGATCGCTTTGTTTGTGGTAAATTTATTGCTAAATATCTTAACTTATACGTATTTATAATTGTTAATTATGTTTAGAATTAATTTATAATGTTGTAAAATATTTATTCCAGTGATCAGCTCCGAAGATAAAGGTAATTTTAAAACCATTTTCTATTTTTGTCCACAAAATCAATTGTTTTATAAGAAAGATAAAAATTACAAAATCAAGAAAATGAAACTTATAATTTCTTGTCTTCGTGTACAATGAAGTATCTAAATACAAGTATTAATTAAGTATTTTTTTCAAACAAATGAAATCAGTCAACCACTTCCATCTATTTTTGTTATTTCACATTTTCCTTCAAAAAGATATTTTCATTTAAGATTATTACTATTATGAGATTTAGTAATATGACGATATAAGTTAGATGAAAAACGAAACTTTCGTGAGCAATAAGTACACGACAATGGCTTCTCTCCGGTGTGAATCCGCATATGATTTATCAGAGTAGCTTTTGCTGGAAAACTTCGTTTGCAATGTTCACAACTGAAAGGTTTCTCGCCTGTGTGAATCCGAAGATGGTTTATCAAAGTACTTTTTTTTGAGAATCTTCCTTTGCAATGATCACACGTAAAGGATTTCTCTCCAGTGTGAACAAGAGCGTGACTTATCAGATATTCTCTTCGTGAAAAATTTCGCTTGCAATGATCACAAGTGAAAGGCTTCTCTCCCGTGTGAATTCGAATATGTTTAATCAAAGCATGTTTGTATGTGAAACTTCGCTTGCAATGATCACAAGTAAAAGGTTTCTCTCCGCTGTGAATCTGCATATGAGTTTTCAGAACAGTTTTCGTTGAAAAACTTCGTTTGCAATGTTCGCAAGTGAAAGGTTTCTCGCCTGTGTGAAGCCGAAGATGATATATCAAACTACATTTATATGAGAATCTTCGTTCGCAATGATCACAACTGAAAGGCTTATCCCCTGTATGAATCCGAAGATGACTTTTCAGATGACGTTTTAGTGCGAAACATTGTTTACAATGGTCACAGGTAAAGCATCTCTTTCCGGTGTGAGTCTTGAGGTGGTTTCGAAGAGTACTAGATTGGCTGAAGTTACGATTACACAATTGGCAGGAAAAAGACCCATTATTTGAGTTCTGATCGTTTAAACCTGTAAAATATGATAAATATATTAAAAGCAGTCTTAAGATCAACACTCCTTCATTTATTGTTAATCAAATATATAAATAAAATTAGGGCACATATGTCTACATAAAATATTGTTAGACTAAACTAAAATTTAAAGTTTAAAGCAAGCTCGAATGCTGACACATTATAGATGATGCATAAACTGCTCTATACCAGTGTTCATAAATATTACCAACACGCATAAAAAACTATCACATATTAATGTCATTTATACATTTTCTGTAAAAATAATTTAATTTACATCATGTGCATTTTGTAAAATAAAAAAAGGAAAATAATTTAAAATATCTTCATTGATTTTTCTCTTTTTCTTTATTTGCACGAAAGATGGTTTCTTCCTCGTTATATTCTTGTGTAGTTTCCTAACAACAGCTTCAATTATAGTGTTTCGTTAACAACAGAAATCGAACACATCTTTGTGTTTTCCTGAATACAAGTCTTCATTTATTACATTTAAAATTAAAAATCTCTTCTTGGACATTTAACGCCATAAAATCACACCTTGATATAAAAATCTGCAAATAAAACCAACCCAAATTAATAAATATATATTTATACGTATGAAATAAAGTAATTATGACATTGAAACTAAAAGATTTGGATTATCAGAAAACAACTATTAAATAATTAGAATAAAAAACAATATATATATAAGCCACGTCAAATAAACCACATGACCTAATAACTCTTTTGCTTTCATTATTGTTGTGTTTGTATTCTTTTCTTAAATGTTTAATTAAACGTTAACAGTTCTATAGAATTTTTTTATCGTCATAAAACAAATAATAATATAAGAAATTTTAAATTAATAAATAACCACGTAGTAAATACATTATTATTGATACAGATTTATAAATTACGTCATAAGTGTCGTAAACACTAAACAATACTTAAAATATGGATTATTATTTTATTGAGTTTTGAAGGTTACGTAATATCAGAAACGTTTCTCAAACTGTAGTCCGCGGACTCTGGAAAATCCGAAAATGTGTTTACTTGGGTGGTCGAACTGTCAAAAAAAAAAAAAAAAAATAGATAATTTCTATTTAAAATTATAAACATTAAATATTAAATTTTATACAAAAGCACACTGTATTATTAAAAGCGATCTATTTAAATTTAGAGTTATTACAATTACGTGTTTAAAGAGACGAATCATGTGATGCCTCGAGAAATATAGAAATTCTTTCGCTAGAAAACGTCAGCCCTGTCACGTGAGCGAGTGAAGTCAACACGGGTCACGTGATACTTGTTCCAATGCCCTACTCCGCGACGAAAACAAGGTTTGGCAATGGCGACTTTCATCGTGAATAGTCCACAAGTAATCCGATCAGTTTTCGTTTATAACTATTTCCATAGGCCTCGCTCTCAAAAATGTGTACTGTTTAGGACACGTCTACTAGTTAGGTCACTTAGGTAAACAAAATTAGGAATAAATGCGTTATATATTAATTGTGAACTTTTACCCAATCACGAGCCGTTAGAACAAATTTTCGGTTAAATAACGTTAGAGCTGCTTACCTATGTCGGAAAATATTATACTTCATACAGTTTGTTTTTCACTTAAAACGTGCTGACACACAATCGTCGTGTTTTAAACCATTCCGAGTGTACGAAGTGTTTCGACAATACCCGAGATTTGTTTCAAGTTCACGAGTTATTATTCGTCCATTCTTCTCTATACAACTAGTAGCCCGGGACACCACCTAGTGGGCGTTCTTTACAAATTCCCACGAGGGACGGTTCCTTTGACTTTTTTGTTCCTATCAATATGTTCTACAGCTCTGTTAAAGTCCCAATCGCGTCATACGGTTCTATATTTCTATCTATTAAACATTCTATAAAACTTATAAAACTTTATAACAGTTTAATTTGTTTATTTACCTTCGGTTGTACCTCTCGATTTTAAACGTAACCGCCATTTTTTCAACAAATTTCCCGTGAGTCAATGCGCGACGTTCACTAACTTGTGAGTCACGTGATGTTGTAAACGTGCGGCACAAAGTTAATCAAGGCATTTAATAATTATTTATATCATTCCGTAGTATAAATAATTCCTATTACAAATAAAAATAATTTATTATTAATTTAAAATCATCTCTAGGGCGCCTCTAGTGCCCATTTTTGGCATACCGTTAATTTAAGACTGGCGTCTAATTACAAAACGATTCCGTAGCCGAAGTTCTGTTTTTTACCACGAGATGTCGCTAGTGTCGTGACGTTCAGATAGGCTGCGTTTCTTTATGCAGCGAGAGTGCAGCGTAAATGACGTCACGAGCAGCTATCGCTACACGTCGCTGCATCATAGTTTAGAAACGCTTTCCGCTCGAGCGAAACACGAACGTCATAATCTATCCTTTAATTCCAGTTACAGTCGAAAATAGTGCTTTAGTTAAAGAACTACAATATTTAAATAAAGAGATATAAAGGATCGAGCATTTATCTTTCCATAAATGTTAACAAAGTAAAGAGATAAAAGATATATAATTATATTTAAAATATAGTATTTTCCTATTCTTTAGATAACTTTCAGAGTCATTTCATAAAATTTAATCCTTCTTAATCTTTCCATAATATTTTTATCAACAGTCACTTCGACTTTTTTATTTTTACAGCATAATATCGTATTATACACACAAGCGTCCATTTTGCTTTACACGTGTAGCGGACGTAAAAGCTGCTTTATCTTCGCTGCAGCGACCTCTTGCAGCAAACGTTTAGAAACGGTTCGCTACATTGCAGCGCTGCATTTAGAAACGGGTTTCAGAGGGTTCGCTGTAAAGCGCTTCTCGAGCGCTGCATAAAGAAACGCGGCC